TACAAAGGCCGCAGAGCCAGTCATATCATGTGCTGCCACAAAAACTGTCCAGCTTGGTTCTGGACCTATCACCTCTGTACATAAATACATAAAACAATAAAAGCTGTGTGAGATTTCTTCATTCAAGAGTAGTAGCCCAGTTCAGATGTTGTAAATGTTTTTTTTTCAGAGCAGTGTCCACATGTTGTGCAACAAATATCACAGCTTCATTATAGCTTTTGTGTGAGTTCCAAGTGGCAACTGTACTATTTACTCTACAGGGTGGGTTGTCATGATAAACAACGACTGGATCAGAAAGAGATCAAGTACTGTTGTGTAGCAGTTTGCATGTAGGTTGCCATGTTTTCAGTGATAATCAAAGGTAAACAGTGATTACGTTTCATCCGCTCTATTATCCTGAATATGTTTGGTTACTTACAAAACTAATACATGGGTTGGTAAACAGAACATGTACCTGAAAACCGTTAATTATGTAAACTGCAGCTTTGTCACACTGATGAATGTCCATGTTCTGCATTAGTCTCGTGTCCAGACAAGCCCATTTGAGTGTGGTGTTCATATTTTGTCATTACTATATCACAACTCAAACCTTTATTAATCTGCAACTTGCTTTCATACTGTAGTGATATGAACAGCTACAGACACACAACATGATTCACAATGATGCCATCCATAGTGTTACCTGTCATGTAGTATCACGCTTACCACGGTGACTGAAAATAAAGCAGCTTCATATTGCTTTTGCGTGCTCATACACTATGTGAACTGAGTTTTATTCTATGGGTGGCAGCACAGCAACATGAAAAAACCAAAACACTGATCACCTTATGAACACAGAGCGATGGTGTTGGTGAATTTGTTGTGAGACAATTAAAACACGAATTTAAAGTGTGTTTGACACTGACTACAATATCAACTTTATAGTTTTTATGTTTACAGAACTAATGTGTTTCAGGATAGGATTGTGGTCTTGATTAAATATTGAAAAAGTAAACACAGACTTCAAACATGAGCCACGATATGATTTCCAGTTCCATGTTTTTTCATGTGCTTTGTGCACCCACCCAAGCACCTTTATTTTAATCTGAATTGTAGGAGACAGACTTGTATAAGTGATGTCTTCCTATGTCCACATGCTGTTCACCCTGCCCCTATTTTCTTAATCAATCTGGTGAAACCCAATGAGCTTTGGGCCATAATCCCAGTCCTTGTTTGTCCACATGTTAGATGTTCTCCCTAGAAGTGCTGAATACAATTAACAGCCCACTGTGCAGTTCTATTCTGGCTCCACTGAAAATTCAAACGTTTTAAATGCACCATACACATTTCAGTTAATGCACCAGATACATGCTGCCATCTTGTGGCAAAACAGGGACACAGCTGTAATACACAGCTTTTCAGTTTGGTTCTGACTAAACTGTATAGTGTAATATTTTTTTCTGCATTGAGTAGCCTACTAATACTTTAAGTACATTTTTGTGTTAATATTTTCACTTAACATTATTAATGCAGGAACCTTTGTAACAGACTTTTTTGTAACAAAGTAGGTTACATTTACAGTGTGACAAGTAAGAAATGTCCTCTGTTACTGTTGCTAATGTGCAAACTATGTTTATAATCCTGTTTATTCTTTAGGGTCAATCTAGTGCTGCAATCCAGCTCAATCAACTGGCACAGTCACTTGCAATAAAAAGGACCCTTTTTCATTCTTCTGAGGGTCGTTGAAGCTGATAATAGTAATTTTGTAATAACATATACCGTAATAATTTCTGAGATGGTTATGATACTGTGAAAACCTCATACCATTGCAACCCTACTTAATGCAGGAAAAATAAAAAAGAATTTGATGAAACAAGCACACAAAAAAATTCTATATACATTAAAACAGTTCAAACTAAATGTCGAGTCCCTCAGAGCTTATATTGTACTTCAAGTAATAATTTCTAACACAATTGTTTAATTAAACTACACTATTTGTCACAGGTTTGGACATACATTTCCATTCAATTCAGTGGGAAAGTGTGTTCAAATTTCTGACTGGTAGTGTGTCCTCTGAATGATGTGGAGATACTCACATGCTAATGCTGCCATACCTACTGTTTTTTTAATGAATTTATTCTATTTCAGTCCATTTTTTTTTACAATATTTAACAAACTGCTACAAACAGGCTCCGTGTTCCTCATAGGGTAGTGTGTTCACTATGTATTGTGAATGTACACTAGGACATATCATTCATCAGCTATAATGCCCGCAAACAGCCCTACCCCCTTCTCACCGAGCACGCGCACACGTGCACACACACAAATATGGCGGCCTCTGTTTCACCGCTACGCTCCTCCTTCAGGATTTGTTGCCCATTAACGTTACAGCACCACTGCTGCCGGGCCAAATTGCGGATGCACAGAAAATGCGAGATTCAGCGAAGACGTCTACACGAGTCGGCGACGAGGTGCGTGCCACCACATTTAAAACGCCGGCGTTTTTGGTTTTTAATATACGGTATTACTTTGCGGAAGGATGGATGGATGAGTGACATTTCAGCACCGGTGAATGCGTGTGTGAGTTACCGTCACGTGTATGGTGATTGACAGCAGGTTTCACCATTCATGTCAGAGACGGTAAGATTAGCTGCGATGTCGAGTACGTTTCTATCCAGATGTAGAGCAGTTTTTCACCGAATTTCAAATAAATGGTCGAAAGGAAAATGCGAATCAATGCGGGGGTTCCACCCACTACCGTCATGCAAGCAATAGCAGCTGGTTTGTTGAGATAAACAACCCATGCCGCTCATCTTCCACTTAGGTGCCTTTGCAGAGGAAAAATACCAGTAGTGTTAGTGCTGCTGCTTCTTCTTCTATTTTTTTCTTTCTGCCTCTTCAATGTTAAGGTGCATTACCGCCACCTACCATCCTGGAGTATGGACCGCAATTGCTTAGCTTCCGAAACCCAATAATGCTAAATAAATAATACCGATAATATAATAATAATAACAACAACCCTAAATTTTATCTAGCAGCCCTTTACCTCTCAAGAATACTAATAACTTATTAAAATCCTCATCTTAATATAACTGTGTAATACCCAAGTCAATTCTACCCCTTCCTGTTCTCTAAACTACCCTTTTACCCTTTGTCAGAACTGTTGTCATATATTTACAAATAATTTTTGCCCTTTGTGTGTGTGTGTATTTTGTAAATGCATTAATTAATGTCTGTACAATTGACTTGTCCAGGTACGCTGCAGTGGTAATTTCAGGGACAGAACTGGCCCGTCAGCTCCACAGAGAAATCCAACGTGATGTGGAAGAACTGGTAGCTCAGGGCAACATGAGACCCCACCTGGGAGTGGTCTTAGTGGGGGACGACCTGGCCAGTCGTACCTATGTTAGGAACAAGACCCGGGCAGCCAACATCCTGGGTCAGATATGAGCACTGCACGCATTCTGGAACATTGTATGCATAATGTGTATCATACAGATCAACAAAGATAATGTGCTGTAGCTGTATCTAATGAATTACACACACATAGAAACACATGAGTAAACCTATTTTTCAAAAGCAATATTAGCATAGTGTAATGCCACATAATGTCAAACTAACATGCATATGGCAATGTTTTGAACATAGAGTTTGTGTGGTGTGTATGTGCTCTCCAGGAATTTCCAGTGACACAGTCGTGCGGCCTAGCTCAGTCTCCCAAGAGGACTTGCTGGAGCTGATTGACCAGATGAACCGTGACTGGAGGGTCAGCGGCCTGTTGGTGCAGTTGCCACTTCCCGGTAAACGCAGGAGCCCCAGCTGCAGATGAGGTTTCCTCAGCTGCATCAGAGTTACCCAATGTTAACTAGTCTGTAGAGTTCAGTTTGAGTTGATTATGTGTATTATATAGTGAAGGCTTGCCTTCTTATATGTGATTTGTAATCACTGATGAACTTGATTAGCTCGTCTGAAGTGTATTTCCTTTGAGTGATATGATGTCACCCCGATGAGCACAAAGGTCTTATCTGAATTTGCCTGAGGGACACATGCTTGGGATGGAGGTGTGTTTCTCCACACATCATTTGTTTTTGTTTTGCACTGTGTCATTTCATTAGAAAAGGCCTGGCTGAGGCTTCTTTGAGAATCAAATAAAAAAAAAAGATACTTGGGTACAAACTATATCAGGCCAGTTGATAGCAACACTGAAAACGTTCTTATATTGTTGGCTTGTTAGTGCAGGTTTAGAGTGTTAATGTGCTAATCAACACTTTCTCATTATGTTCTGTGCGTATCCAATCACTTCCTCTCCTTTTCAGAGCACATCAATGAGCGAGCAGTGTGTAATGCCATCGCTCCAGAAAAGGATGTGGATGGCTTCCATATAGTGAATATTGGGAAGCTGTGTCTGGACCAGAGATCCATGGTGCCTGCCACACCTGCAGCTGTCTGGGAGATCATCAAAAGAGCAGGTAAACCATCAAAACTTTACATTACTGTTTTTTTTTTATTTATACATTTTTTTTAAATGAATGCTGTTGTTGTGCCATGGCTTTCATGGTTTGTGTTTATTGTTCTCTTTTACCTTTGTTGCACACAAATATTCCCCGGGATAGCAATAAAGTTCTATTATAATACAGTAATTGGTATCAGTACTTTTCTCTTGCATTATGTTATTTTTATATGTTGTCAATCTTACTTAATAGAAGCACTCATGTGTTAACTTAGAATTTTTAAAGTGCTATCTATATGTCTGTGTGCACCTTGAATTTAACTCAGTCCTGTAGCTCGTAATATAAATTCAAAGTTCAACTCATGTTTGATCCTAAATTTCAAAAGTCAGCTCTGGAGGCAAAGGGACAAGCAGGACTACTGTATGTGTTCCTGTCCCATCATGCATGAACCACTAGATGGCATGTGACAATCATGTTCCAATCTGTTCCATTGTGTCCATTGTGCTAATGTGCTGGGCCATTAACTCATCCACTTGACTAAGTAAAGGATATAAATGGAATGTGCTGTGCCAAATGCAAATGGGTAGGTAAGTGTAGTGGATTTTTTTCTCAGCGCTTCCCCCAAACTTAGTTTGCTTAAGTTGGCTACCATGGGAAGTAACTCCTTGGTGCCTAACTGATCAAACCCAGAGGAGGGTGCTGTTGTCCGTGTACAAGCATAGCTTCGATCAAAGTAACTGCCATTGCTGAGAAGTCTGACTGCTGAGTAACCAAAGTTTTTTACATCGTTTTGGTAACACCTGCCAGAAAGCAGGAATTTTGAGAACATGAGACTAGGAGGGGCCTTGACAATAGCGGAGGACTTTTTGAATGTTTAAGATGATTGCGATGGTGTTAATGATAAGTGACATCTGTGGAGAAGCGAGAGACCTTGATGGCTGTCTTCACTATCAGCCGTCAGAGAATTTTTGTAATCCCCATACCAGATAGTGTTGAAGCAGCATAGGATGCTTTTGACAGTGACTTTGGTGGAATGTGATGAGACTGGCAAGGTGATGGTTTCTCTCTCTTTGTGCTACATGGACAGATTACTGGGGGTTTTGGGTGGGGTGGAGACACTGTTGACCCATAAAGTTGAGATCCTTTTGTGATGTGCACTCTAGCAAAGCAAATACTGCAGCAAAGTTCACTTCTCCGCTGTCCGTCTCGGCTCCTCATGCACGAGGTTGTTCAGGTCCCTAAGGTGAGATATCCTAGCACAACTGAGCAGAAACAGTTTGGACAGAGCAGTGAGAAAAATGTATATTGATATACTTACTCTACCTAAAAATGTTGAACAATGCCAGCTTTTCCATTTTGAAGGCTGTGTTCTCCAATCAGGGATCACATTCCATGGCAGATTATTTTGAAGGCTGTGTTCTCCAATCAGGAATCTGCCATGGAATGTGATCCCTAAGTAATGTCAGTGCTGTAATTCTACAGTTTTCCTTACCTTCATCCCACCAGATTATACACCAATCAGCCAAAACATTATGACCACCTGACTAATGTGTCCGCAGGAACCAATGTAGCAGTTGGTTGCCACTTATGTCTCTCTGCAGCTCATTGTGCATCTTCTGTGAATCGGTTTGTCTACTGTCAGGAAGAGCACAGATGAGTCGACCATTCAGTGAAAATCCTATGTAAAAAGAGTGAAAACTGTGGTTGTGAGGACAAGTTAGAGATAAGTGTTTAGACAAATGCAACAGCCTCCCCACGCTAGGTGTGATATCACCCCTACAGCCGCGGAATGTTTCTCTTCATAGAGACCAATGTACAGTTTTTTGTTTTGGTTTTTTTTTTTTTTTTCATTTTCAAACATTTTAACAAAGATTCAAACAAAACTGAATCGTTTTGAAAAGTTTGAATGAAATTTAAAAGTTAAATCTAGGTCAACCTCATCATCAGTGAGCCTTGAGTGTCTGTCTCCTTTAGACCGTTGTTGGTAGGTGCTAACCACTGCAGACCAGGAACACCCAACGAGACCTGCAGCGTGGGAGATGCTCTGACTCAGTCATCAGCCATCACAGTTTGGCCCTTGGCCAATGTTATTCACGTCACCTGTCAGGGGTCATAATATTATGGCAGGTCTGTCTAACCTAATTGTCGCCACGATAAAGTTCCAGAGTTTTAAAATCCTGTCACAGAGGATCTGTGTATGTTGAAGATGTTACTCAAACCAAACCTCCTGGATTTTATTAATACCTGAAATAAGACACTAGTGCAGCTTTTGTGTTTTAATGCAGGGCTGTTTTCAGTCTGAAAGTCCACTGAGGTTAGCTGGATTTACAAAGTGTGGAACTGATCAAGTATGTGGACTGGGGAAACACTGATATAATAATAATAATGTTATACTAAGAATTAATGAATACAAACATAAAAAGCAAGTAGACTCGGGTGCCCAGATAGCCAAATGGTTACGGTGCGGCGTCCAACGTGGACGGATGGAGTCCAACGTGCACCCTTGTCGCAGGCCCTCTGTCACCTCCATTTCCTGTTTACCTAATAAAGCCAAAAACACCCCGAAAAATGTAATTATATATTAAAAAAATAAGCAAATAGATTAGTAAAAATTCACAGAGATAATAAGATTGCATTATTCATTCATTCATTTTCTACCAGTTAATCCCTGAGCGGGGTCACGGGGGGG